GGCGTGGAGGATGCAGAGCATTATGTCAAGGGGGGAGGGCAGGGTTTGGGAGGGGAGGGCACGGAAGCTGATGCGGGAATGCGTCACGCCCAAGGCAGCGCGCGGCGCGGGTGCGAGTGTGGGCGAGAAGGTGACATAGGCAAAGCTATCAAGCTGGTGTCGCACCCGTCGGCAGCCATCTGGATCATCTTCTGGCCCATGTCCATGGCAGCAGAGCCGGCAGGGGAAGCACGGTCGCCATTGTCAGCGTCGCCTGCGCAGGAGCGGGTGCAGGCATGGGTGAGGCCCTGTTGGCGCGGCTTGAACGGTTTTTCAGGCATGTTTCACGCGCTCTGGCATGTCTCACTGCAAAAGGCCGCTGTGCGAGCAGGTCCCGGAGCCCGACACGGACCGGAGACACGCGACAGTATCGCACCTGCCACGACGAGAGCCAGCATAAAAAGGAGAGCTACGACCTTTCGGCCCATTGAAGTAGGCTTCGAATTGATGGGACGGTAGGGTGATGTGACTAAAGTTCCGTAACGGGGCTTGACGACACTCGACGTTTCGTTGGGTTTGGCTGATTCGCTTGATACTTTGAACAAATGAATGAGTTGAAAATCGGACGCGTGAATGAGTCCAACAAGGCAGGAGAGCTTGCTGATGATCGGGCACCTCCGCACCTGCCAGCGGCAACCATGCAGCATCCTCAGTAACTGCGGTGCTCCCGGGGTTGCGGCGAGCCCCACCAGCCAACTGTCAAACTCAGTCCTCCTGACACCCCATCACCGGCTCTGCAGCACGCATGCGCGCCCGCGTAACCGCATGAGGATCATCCAGTCAGCAGGCGACCGCGTCATGTCTTGTCGCAGGTGAGGATCCCATTGCTCGTGCAGAGCTGGCGCCACGACAGCCGACACGCCCCTGCAAATATCTGGTTTACAGCAGACTCCAGTCTCAAGGGTATGGTGCATGTTGCGCAACCGCTGAGCTTTCTGATGCAATGCAGTCTCTGTTGAGTCACGGGCGCAGGCTACCTATACTTCCCAACACGTCTAGCAGTGCACATGCCTACCCCTCCCCGCCAGCTGCCGCACGCTGCGGCTCCCGCTGCTCCTCCTGCTGCTGCTCCGCCTGCTCTGCCTCTTCCTGCTGCTCGCCGCCCTCCGCAGCCGCCTTGCCCGCATCAGGCGCGCCCCAGCCCTCGGCTGCACCCCCACCCAGGCCGCCGACCACACGTGCGGGCGCCGGCGATGAGGGCGCTTCTGCAGCGCCGCCGCCGCTGGTCTTGGGCGTGGCCTCTGTCAGCGGCGCCAGGTGCCGGCTGTACGCCTCCCTCAGCGTCTCCGAGTGCTGCGAGACCAGCAGCTTGGCCTGCCCTGACCTGCCAGCGTCGGCGAACGCGAGCACCCAGTGTCCGTCCGCCAGCTGGCGCATGGAGTTGAGCAGGCCGCCCTTCTTATTGGAGGCCGCCTGGCGGGGCCGTGAGGGGGTGAGGGTGTGGGTGTGCGCGTCGGCGGCAGGGGTGAGGGGGGGCAGGGCTGCGAGGCGGGCGAGCCGGCCGGGCTGGCGCGAGGCCAGCCTTAGGAGCCCGGCGTGCATGCCAGCTGGCAGGGCCGGGGGCGGCGCGGGGCCCGTCCGCAAACAGCCGGCCCACGAGCCTCGCGCCCTCGGCCCCAGCAGCGCAGGGCCACGCCGCTTTGCAGCGCGGGAATACGAGAGCAGGCGAGCCGACTGCCCCGCGCACCTTCAGCACCCGCAGCAGGCCCCGCACCGACGGCCGCACGTGCACGTGCAGCCACTTGGGCACGTTCTTGTCCTGCGTCGGGTTGGCCCCCAGCAGCGGCGCGACCGACAGCACGACGCCCGCGTTGGGCTTTGTCGGGGACGGGTCCGCGACCACGGTCACAGGCAGGCTGCGAAGCAGCGATAGATCCCCGCCGCCGCCGCCGCCGCCGCCGCCGCCGCCGCCCGCCGCCGCGTCCAGCCGCCGCAGCGCGACGCCCGCGATCGAGAAGAACACGCGCCGCTCGACGCCCGGCGTGAACGAGACGACGGCGGCGATCGAGGCGGCGGGGTGGAGGTCGACTGAGAAGCCCTCCTGCACGTCGGCGGCGCGGAGCTCGGCGTCGGTCAGCGTCGCGATGGGCGGCGACCGCGAGATGGAGCCCGTGGAGAGCAGCTGGGGGAGGGCGGCGGGAGTGGATTTGACAAGAGCATGAGGATGAGGATGAGGATTAGCAATAGAAACAGGGTTTGAATGAGGATTTGCTACAGGCAGGGGGTCGGTGGGGGCTGGGGTTGATGTGGGGGTGGGAGGTAGTGGTGACGCGCGTGCGCCTGGCCCGGCTCGTGGACGGGAGGCGACGTGCCAGCTGTGTCGGGCTGGTTGTTGGGCTCTTGACTCGGCTGGGTCTGGGTCGGCTGGCGACGGCGGTGCGCCTGTCAACACAGCGTCTGCTCTCCTTGCATCGCGTGTTTCCCCACCCACAGCGGCCGGCGCGTGGGCGCGGTCTGACCACCAGGGAGAGGCCAGGGTTCGCACCTCTCTCAGCTGCAGCAGCGCCACCACCCGCTGCACTGCAAGGTAGCACGCCAGCGCCGCGCGCGCGGACTGGCTCAGCGCCTCGCCCTTGCCGCCGCCGCCCGCCTGCTTCCCCGCCGCCCCCGCGCCGCCGGCCGCCGCCGCCGCAGCCGCCGCGGGGCCGTACGCGTGGGGGCCGGAGAGCAGGGCCTCGCTGCTCGACCGCAGCACCGGCCGCTGCAGCTGCTCGCGCGCCGCTGGCCACTCCAGGGCGACCATGGGGCCGAGCGCCTCGCACCAGATGCCGCCCACGTGCTCCCGCAGCGCCTCCTGCGCGACGTACAGCGCCCCCTCCAGCGCCGCCCCCTGCAGCGGCGTCGTCAGCGACGGCGGCGGCGCGGCGGGCGCGCGCGGCTGCGGCG